AGAGTTTTCATTGGACTTCAGATTTACTGTGTATATACACATATGATGATTACAAACATTTTGTAGTCAACAGATTTTGGACCCCAAGCCCCCTTTGTTACAAATTTGTAAAAAACGTATTTCAAGTACTAGAGACTTGTGCTTTGGAATACTATTGTCATACTATTGCCCACACTGCAACGCAGCCCAAGCGCAGTCGCAGCTTACTGCGCAGTTAGCAGAATGCGGGCGCGTGAGGGTACATGCATATGTATGTATGCGTGCGTGCATAAAATAAGTGCAGAATGATAAGAATATCAGCTGGGATGGTTCAGGGTATCTCCTAGTCGAGCAGTCTCGACTAGAGTCTTCTTGTTATTTTTTTTTTTTTTTTTTTTTTTTTTTTTTTTTATTTATTAATATATGCAATAATAAAGCATAGAACTATTGGAATATCAACTGTTTAAAGGATTCAGGGGATATCTTAGTCGAACAGTGTTGACTTGTTCAACCTCACTAGTTCAAAAGCTTATGGCTTCATAAAAAATAAAAAATCATATCTTAATAAAATTGTAATGCCCACCCAATTGTAAGGCTATAATGTAATCGCAGCAACTATTGTCGTCGTCTGGTTGACTATTGAGGGTATCATCGATTTGCTGAAGCTCATTTATTTCGACTTAGACTCAATTAGGGACGCCTACATGACTGGGAACAACTGTTACCGTTCACAGAAGCATGCTAATTGAGAGATTTTTGTGCTCGTTAATCAAGTGGGCGTGGGTGTGCTCTAGCTAGCAATTATCAATTGGTTGATGGTGCTATAAAAGCGCCTCAAAATGTGCAAGGCACAGGCAGCAGTAAAGAAGCTCCGATACAGAAATAATGTGTAAATTACGGAAGCGCTCAAATGGACAAAAGAACGGAAAGACCAAATCACTGTACATGTTCTTTCGATATGTGGACATCTTTTATTTCTCTATTGGCATGAAGGCTTACGATCGAGTCCTTTTTAACGCAAATACAACAGATTGGCGCAAAACAATTTTGAGCTGTTACTTCATATTCCAGATGCTAAATCTGAACTTGACGCTGTTATCGGAACTGATCTATGTATTCTTGGCGTTCAGCACTGGCAACAATTTCCTGGAAGCCACTATGAATCTGTCTTTCATTGGATTTGTTATCGTCGGCGATATAAAGATTCAGCACATCTGGGGCAAGCGTGGGCATATCACCAAGGTGGTCCAGCGCTTACAGCTGCTGCATCCCATAACAGCTAATCAACAGTGGGAATATAGGTTGAGTGACTACCTGAGGAGCTATAGAATCGTTAGCATCTTCTACTTTGGCATGCATATGGTGCTCATTTGGACTTACAATCTCTATTGGGCTATCTACTATTTGGTGTGCGACTTCTGGCTGGGCAAACGACACTTTGAGCGAATGCTGCCTTACTACTGCTGGACGCCATGGGATTGGAAAAGCAATTGGAGCTACTATGTCATGTACGTCTCCCAAAACATTGCTGCCCAGACCTGCCTCTCAGGCCAGCTGGCGGCGGATATGCTCATGTCTGCCCTAGTCACGCTGCTGATCATGCACTTCAAGCACTTAAGCAGACAGATCGAGCAGCATGTGGCAGGCGTTCGGCCTGCTGACCAGGATCTGGGCTTTCTCCAGAGGAGCATCGTTTACCATCAGCAGCTACTGTGTCTGAGTCAGGACATCAGTCGGATCTTTGGCGTTTCACTCTTTTGCAACTTTGCCAGCTCGTCGTTCATCATCTGCTTTGTCATCTTTCAGATGACCATCGGGGGCAACATAGATAATCTGGTCATGCTGATCCTCTTTCTGTTCTGTGCCATGGTGCAGGTCTTCATGATCGGTAGTTACGCGCAGCGCTTGATCAATTCGGTAAGTAATTTAAGCAGCTATTGACCCAATATACTTCTGTTTTGATTGACAGAGCGAGCATATAGGCCAGGCTGTTTATAATCACAATTGGTACATGTCTGATTTGCGCTATCGTAAGCTAATGCTACTGATCATGCAACGAGCCCAGCGCCCCAGTTACCTAAGGGCTACCAACTTATTGAACGTATCCCTGATTACCGTAACAGACGTAAGTTGATCCTAACGGTGACTAATGAAACTTCTGTTATCCGCAATATCGTTGCAGCTGCTGCAGCTGTCATACAAGTTCTTCGCCCTGCTGCGCACCATGTACTCCCAGTAGAAGGGAAGTAGGTGGCAGTAGAGGTAGAGCATAGAGTAGGTAGAGCGCGCGCAGGCATAGCAGGCAGCATGTGCAAGTGACAAAAGATGTAGTTACGGAAATGGTCGAATCATTGAGGGGCAATCATTTACGCCAACTCTCCTACAGTTGCAGCTTCTAATTAGATTGAGCAGGCAGTGCGATGGCATCGCCACTGGCGAAACGTACAGCAATAAGGATATAAAAAAATAAACGAAAAGAGAAAAGCTAAGGAAAACTATGCCCTTTGGCCAACACTGATTTTGCTTTGACTCGGGCAAAGTGCCAATTATTCACTGTAGTCCTTTGATGTTTAAGATTACATAAATATTATTTTTGGAAAATAAAGATGCTGCAACACAAAAACATATTTGTTTCTGCGCTGGGATTCAGGGGAATACATATATGAAGGTTACTTACGCCTCAGCAAATATTGATTTAAATATTGAATTTTTTATTTTAATCAATAATTTAAGTTTACAATTTTCTACATAGTTCAGTACAGTTCAGTACAGTTTAGAAAATTTATATGGTAAACAAAATTGAATAGTGAAAGAAATTCAAGAAATCTATATATTTTATTTATTTTATTTTACTAGGATTAGATAATGTAATAGACTTTTTTTATATCTATTATGTATTATATTTCATTGCTTTTCTAGTTCCATCTTCGCTTTCAAATTTTACATAGTAATTAATTTCTGAACAAAAAGTGTATTTCGCCCATTGTGCAATAGAAAAGTGAAAAGGTGAGAGAAGAGCTCCGCAACCACAAAAGCAATGATTAATTAACGCCAAGACACATCTCTCATTTTGAACTAATATTGGTACAGTGGCGCTGTACGATTGGTCATCCCAACATTTGCACAGTCCTTCGTTAAGCATATGCCAGCCATTTTAATTAAACTTGTAATCACGCTCTCTCACACACACACATTGGCTATTGGCATTTAGGCGCGGCGCCTGAGCTTATGCAACACTTAAAATTAATTGCAAAATTGGCTGACAAATTGCATTTTTATGACTGTAAAATTGAAAAGTTGACATAACGTTGAGTTGAATGGAAACGAGAAGGAAACTGAACGAAAAAACGGAAGAAGTGAAGCCCATGAACGTGGCTAATTACATTTGTACGGCTGTCTGGCTTGAGCTGCAGGGGTGAGGTCCACTCAGTTAGATAGATGGCAAAATTGAAGAATTTTTTCAATTAAAAATTTTGTAAAATACGGCACGATGCTCGCACAAGCAAATGGCAATCACAACAACGCTCGCAATGCTCAGCGGACAACTCGACCAAGTGGGTGTGGCTGACTAGTTGACTGGCTGATTGGCTGACTGGCTGGTAGGCTGACCTAATCTAATTAGAAATACGCGCGTCACGAACTTGACTTCACTTGATTCCCCTGCCATTACGCAGCGGACGACCAAATAGTTTCGACTAATTTCATTTGTATTTGCAGTTTTCACTCGCAAAGTTGTAAAAACTTTTGCCCAGCCCCAAGCCCCATTACCAATCCACTCGTCACAGATTTGGCTGTCCGTTGGGAAGCGAACCACAAGCGCATTTCCATTCGATGGCCAACCGCTATTAATCAAAGTAATTGCTACCGGCAAGTGGCAGCAGCGCCCGTTGCCCAGGTGCGCCTTTAATCTGGCCTTTAGTCTTAAGCCTTTAACAAGATGATATCGAGCGTTGTAAGTGGGGTTGACCAAGACACTAAAGACATGTGTTGTGTAGCATTTACAATTTGCGGTCAAGTTATTATATGCTTCTGAGATCGACGCGTTCATACATACGGACAGACGGACGGACGGACGGACGGA